ATTAATAAAAATTAATCAATAACATTAATATAGATATCCGAGATCGTCAAGTACCCCGAATTACAGGGTGTTTCATAATATATGCGCAGGACTTCAGAATGTTATAGCTTGTCCAAAAATTTGAAAAAAAGTTTCTATCAACATACCCTCTAAAATTTACCATTTTGGAGATACAGGGTGTTGAAATTTAATAAAAAAAATCGTTTTTTTTGTGAATATCTCCGGAACCGTTTATCGTACAGAAAACAGCGTTTGTAAGCATTTTCTACTCATAATAAGCTAAATTTTGTGCGCGAAAAAATTATTTTAAAGTCATAATTGGTGAAGATTTTGAAGGGGTAGTGGTTGTTTTTCTCCCCAACTTCTACGTCACTGGTAAAAGTACGGTTTTGAGACGCCCGTTTTAACCGCCAATGTATTCTACACAAAAAAGGTTGTGTAGGTCATGAGCTCTAAAGTTGACTGTTTTCTAGAAAAATTAACTTTTATGTTGAAAAACATGGTCAATTTTTTGAAATAAAAATTTTATTTTACAATTAAACAAAATTTATGTAAACGTTAGAACAAGTAACAAAAGCAAGCGTTAACTTCATAATTGCAAAATAAAAAAAAAGTGAATATATAACATAACTTGTTTCTACGCATTTACCAACGATTATGGGAAAATGGAAGTTTTAAAAGGACTACTGCTGATAATGGGCGGCTTATGGAAGTTGCAAATCCCCAAGTAGAAGAGGCTGTCCTCAACGAAATTAATGAAAATCCCACCACAAGTACCCGAAAAATTGCTTACAACTTAAACCTAGCTCACTCGACGGTTTGGAGAATATTGAAAAGGCAACTTTTGTATCCCTACCATATCCAAAGAGTACAAGCCTTATTGCCAAGAGATTTTCCGCCAAGATTGGCTTTTTGTACATGGATGCAAGACAATATAGCTCAAAATCCTCAGTTTGGAGCCGAAGTTCTGTTTACCGAGGAAGCATATTTCTCGAAAGATGGTATTTTCAATTTTCACAATAACCACACATAGACAGAAAAAAATCCACATGAAATTTCAGAAGACCAGTATCAGCGACAATTTTCCGTAAATGTTTGATGGGCTGCCATCATCGGTGATCATTTGATAGGCCCACATTTTTTTACCGAATGTGCAGATTATCGACAATTTCTAGAAGAAGTACTGCCGGAACTGCTGGAAGATGTACCGCTTCAAGTAAGACAAAACATGTACTTTATGTGTGATGGAGCTCCGGCCCACATTAGTTTGGTTGCTCGCCAATACTTAGACGACGAATACTCAGACCGTTGGATCGGTCGAGGAGATCCGCACCCTTGGCCACCGCGATCTCCCTAACTTAATTGTTTAGATTTTTTCTTTTGGGGCCATCTGAAAACCCTAGTCTACGCTACTCCAGTTGAAAATGTTGACCAATTAAGAAAGCGCATTGTTGTATCTTGCGACATAATTCGGAACTCCGGGAATTTTCCTGCGTGTTAGACAGTCAATGCGTCGAAGAATTGCTGCGTGCATTGAAGCTAACGGCGACATTTCCAACATTTAATTTACCTGTATTGAATTGTTTTTTTTTTAATTATGCAATTATGAAGTTAACGTTTGCTTTTGTTACTTGTTCTACCGTCTTAGTAAAATAAAATTTTTATTTCAAAAAATTGACCATGTTATTCAACATAAAAGTTGATTTTTCTCGAAAACGGTCAACATTTAGAGCTCATGACCTTCAGTACCTTTTTTGTGTAGAAAATATTTAAAACCGTACTTTTTCCAGTGGCGTAGAAGTTGAGGAGAAAAACAACCAATCTTCACCATTTATGACTTAAAAAAAATTTTTTCCGGCACAAAACATAGCTTATAATGAGTAGAAAAAGCTTACAAACGCTGTTTTCTGTACGATAAACGGTTCCGAAGATATTCGCAAAAAACGAATTTTCTTTATTAAATTTCAACACCCTGTATCTCGAAAATGGTGCATTTTAGAAGGTAAGTTGAAATTTTTTTTCAAATTTTTGGACAAGCTATCACATCCTGAAGTCCTGCGCATATATTATGAAACATTGTATTACCGTAAATTAAATTTACATACAAAATAAAACAAATAAACGAAAAATTAGTGTACAGGGTGGTTCAAATTCTGTCTTTTGTTTTTCCCATAGAGGCCAAAATTGAAAATATCGTAAAACCAACAAGTGCAATTATGTTGGTTATTATTATAGGTGGAGTATTACAACTAAGACATTATATGGACACTTTTTTACAGAGAATTTCATGACATAGTAAAAAAAAATTTTTCGGTGTTAGATTTTGAGATATCATGACAATTTTCGTTTTTTTAAATGGAAATAACCACTGATTATTTGCTTAAAGTCGTTATTTTTTTCTGATTACAAAAATATGGGGCTTGACAGGTCTATTTCTCATTGTTTTAGAACAAAGCTAAAAATAAACTTTTTTTTTTGGTGTCGTCAAAGAAATTAAATTTACAGTTTCCTGTAAATTATAACTAAAAATTAAAAAAACATATTTCTGATATTTGAAACAAATACATTTATTGAACTATTTAATTTATATTTGTTTTAGATAAAAGTTAGAATAAATTGCATTATTTCACATTTTTTATTAATATTATTATCAAATGACTTAATAAATTATTGATAGATGGCGCTCATATATATACTTTTTTCCATTTTGGCTTGAAAACAGGCTTCATAAACCGCGGTACTTTGTAAATCTAGGGACTTAATATTTTTTTAAAGTCCCTAGATTTACAAAGTACCGCGGTTTGCCGCCATTTTGGCTCGAAAGTCTAGCGGGAAATTTAAAACTCTGTCGTTCTGTTAATAACATTACGCCAAAACTCCATTCTTTTTTCTCGTGGTACTCTTAAGAGTCGAAAGCCCTTCTTACTGCTATTTTTGCAACACCAAAGGCAACAAGACGGCAATATTTTTGTAAATAAGTGGTAAATAAGTTTATATTTTTTAATTCAAATAAACATAGCAACATTGAAAATCCTGTTTTTAAGATGGATTACGAAAATTACGAAAAGTTTAACATGTTAGTATGTTATATATTAGAAAATAAAGTAAATTTTATATAAATTTTTAGTACAATAATTTTTATAGTAGACGCCACGAGAGCTGGCAGTAAATCATCGTTTTCTGCTCTTACAAATGCCATACGTAGTTCACAAACCGCTAGAGAGTAATGTGTGTTAGAAAGAGATAGCAATAGTTTAATATGTCTGCTGTACAATTCAAATGGTCACGTCGAAAAAGTACGTCTGTTCTTCTAAGGGATGTAACTCTATAATTATAACCTCAAATCGAAACGTCTTGTCAGCGTTGTCATGAATCTGTTAGTGTTTTCACAAGTCGAAAATGTTTTGTTTGAAAGGAAAATCATTAAATAATATCTTTGACGTTTGACATATAACCTCCGTTACTAACATAACCTACATTTAAATGTATGTGGTGTCATAATCAAAGTCGTACGTCCATATCTTGATTCATACCATTTTTAAGCGATCTGTCACTGCCAGCTCTCGTGGTTTCTAGTATAGTTATAGTACCGTAATTTACAGGAAACTGTAAATTTAATTTCTTTGACGACACTAAAAAAAAAGTTTATTTTTAGCTTTATTCTAAAACAATACCTATATAACCCCATATTTTTGTAATCAGAAAAAAATAACGAATTTAATAAGCGAAGGCTTTCACGGCCGATATTAATTAAACTAAAACTAGAACTAACACTAGCACTATCACAAGAACTAACACTAGACCTAGAACTAGAATCTTTCGGGTTAAGCCGTGCGTTTTTTGAAAAATGTTTGACGTTTCGGATGCCATGTTGCAACCTTCTTCAGAAACAAGTTCGAAGTTACACTTACTCACTTCGGCTTAACCCGAAAGATTGTAGTTCTAGGTCTAGTGTTAGTTCTTGTGGTAGTGCTAGTGTTAGTTCTAGTTTTAGTTTAATCAGTGGTTGTTTCCATTTAAAAAAACGAAAGTTGTCATGATATCTAGAAATCTAAAACCGAAAAATTTGTTTTGATTACGCCATCAAATTCTCTGTAAAAAGTGTCCATATAATGTCTTAGTTATAATACTCCACCTACAATAATAACCAAGATAATTGCACTTGCTGGTTTTATGATATTTTCAATTTTGGCCTCTAGGGGGAAAACAAAAGACGATAGCGCTTTGAGGTTTTTGACATTAGCAGTGTCTCGAAAAACGAAATCATGACATGTAAGCTACTTCTTTTCTAACTCTTATAGTTTCGGAGATAGCCTATTCGGACATCGAATTTGAACCACCTGTACATCTATAATTCGAGGTACTTGACGATCTCGGATATCTAGATTAATATTATTAGTTAAATTTTCTTAATAAGCAATTTTTACATTTTTTCAAAAATGTTCTGATATAAGGTCACTAAAATCAAATGAGCCTAACGAAAGGGTACGTTGCCATTTAAAAAACTTCAAGTGTTATTCGTTGCTCATTTGTTTTCTGAAATAAAAACAATTGAATGCTGTTTTATTATGGCAAATAAAATATTAAACAACTTTTGTATAAAATGTTTTTTTATAAAGTCAACATTTACCGAGATATATATTATATTCCATACATAATGGGCACCCGTATAAAATCACTTTATTTAGAGGTGAACCTTAATATTTTTAGTGACATTCCCATTTTTCCATATCATTATTTTTAAATATTCATATAAATGTTTATTTCTTATAAATGATTTAATAACAATTTAATGTTCACTAAAAAATACATAAATCAAAATTTAAAGCATACCATTTTTAATTTCGCGTTTAAAAAATAAAAGAAAACACCTATAAATATTAGTTTATCCAACCTTGAGTCATTCATATCAATTTCCTTGAAGTCCCATACTGTACGGCATTTTCATTGCTCAACGTCACACATGACGTTTTCATACTTTTGTTGTTAAGGAGTAGTAGGAAAAGCCGTCGCCGGTCACTAAAACTAAAACTAATCTCGATAACAGTACGTGGTATTTCCCACAACTTTATTACCATATAATTTTTAACCGCATTTCCGGTCGTAAACTCTTTGCTCTTCCCATCTCCAAATTTATTCTCCCCCTACTTTTTTTTGCAAACATCGCGTTTTCTACACAATTAGTGACAAGATTAATGCGGTGGTTTACATCAACAAGTTGTTTGATTGCGTACTTTTAGTATCTTATTTACTTTTGGGTTTTGCCGACGGTATTGTTTCAGAGATATCGTTTTAAAAAGGTTGGGTTTAACAAAAATCTAGGCCAGTTTACCAGAGTTCATTATCTGGATAAAGTTATGGGATAAAATATTGAAGAAGAAAAATTGTTGTTAGTGAACGAGAAAATTCCGACAAATTATTTCCTTTTTTTGATTAAAGATGTAAAATATCAATTACTTAGATGGTAAGTTATCACTTTTTGATTTAATTGAAAAAGTTTTCGTTCATTTTCATTCAATCATTCATCTGTTATATAAATTTATTCAAATTGCTTTTAATTTATCCCTGTATTTTTGTGCTAAGAGAATATATTTTTGGTACTTGATGCTGCATTAAAACAATTGTTTTATAGATCATATTTGTTGAGCTTATCGGTTATAGTTTGCACAGCCGTATGGTACTGTTTCGTTTCTTTTTATTTTTATGTTATCTCTGACGCAAATAATACTTACACGTTTTTGTTATAAATTAAAAACCATTATTGTGAGAGGATTTTCATATAAAATAAATTTCACAATACTCCGAAATAGCGAACAAAAATAAAATCGTTATAGTCCTATAACTATAAATGGTTGCCTTGAAAAGAAAATATTGTAACGTTTGTTTTTCAATTTTGCACGACTTGAAACAAATTGAAAACAACTTATTAAAAATTACACGGTTGAATAATTATATGTATATGATTAGCATCATTAATTATCGTATAATAAATTACAGTTATTTGCATCAAAATCTTGAAAATTATTTGTTAAAGATACATTATTAACATTGAGAGAGTATAAGGTGGATACTATGTTGTGGTTACATTTTTAACATTCATTTTCAGGAAAAATAACAACAATTTTCTACAAAATTATTTCTTAAGAATTTCATAATTGAAATATATGTTGAACAAATAAAATTGTTATTTTCTTCATTTTAACAAACAGGTTTTTGACAGCTATGTTGACAAATTTATTACACACAATTTATTTGTTTATTATTTTGAATCCAGTAAATTCAATTTATTATTGAACTAAATAGAATATGGAGAGTCAAGGGAAAACGATGAAAGTCCATTTTAAGAAAAAAATAAACTAATAGTGCCATTTGTTGGTTTGTGAGGTAGATACTATCGATATCTAAAGAGAGTAAGGAGGAATAACAAACAACAGTTATGTTAAAACGCATTTTAAAATAAGAACCAAGAGTTCAGTTCGTTAATACAGGATGATTTATTAGCTCACCGTTAAACAACGACAATATAACACTTTAAAGTTTTCTGCAGCGAATTTATTAATAGTCAGTAAAATCAAACATTCAACAAAAACAAAGTTGTCATTGTAATATGTATGTCAGTTTGCTGTAAGGTTTAATTATTACATACAAGAAAAAACTCAAAATGTACACTTATAGCACTGAAGAGTACGCTGATATAATTTTTGTGTATCGTTTTTGCAATGGAAATGCTCGACAATCAGTACGAGAGTAATTTCCACAGCGTCATTTGCCATATTATTCAGTTTTTAGCAATTCTTTCAGAAGACTTCGAGAAACAGGTAATCCTGCTCCAGCAAAAGCTATTCGACCGCATATAGTTAATGTAGAGGACGAAGAAGCTGTAATTAATGCTGTCAGTGATACTCCTTCCATCAGCACTCGAGGAATAGCACACCACATACATACACACCAAATTTTGCATGGCGCGTATTGAACCGCGAAGTCCTTCATCCGTATCGTAAACAGAATGTTCAAGCTCTACAGCCAGGAGGTAATCAGCAACGGTTAGCATTTTGTGAATGGTTATTGCAACAACATAATGACTTCATTTCAAATGATCTCTGGACAGATGAATCATGTTTTAGACGACATGATATAAATAATTACCATAATAAATATATATGTGGGCATTACAAAATCCGCATGCGATTAGACCAAGGAAATTTCAACAACGTTCAAAATATGTGGTACCAGCACGATGGTGTTTCACCTCATCGCGGAAGAGTAGTTATCGAGTGGTTAAACCAATATTTTCCAAACAAGTTGGTGCATTTGCTATGGTCCCGACCATAATCTATTAGATTTCTACGTATGGAGTCAAATGAAACAAATTGTGTATCAAGTGGAAATTAACACACGAGAACAGTTATTAAACAGAATACAAATGGCTGCTACTGAAATAAGAAATCAACCAGACATTTTAATTCGGCTGAAGAACTCTTTAAATCGTCGTTGTGAAGCATGTATTCTAGCAGAAGAAGGCTATTTTGAACAATATTTGTAATATTTATGTGTTTTAAAAAAAATGTAGCAGTTAATTATGATATAAAAATTAAAACTTTAAAGTGTTATAATTTCGTAAATAATTGAAATAGGACATATGTTCATTAACATCTTTTTTTGGTAATTGGATTAGCTATCATATGTCAAAGTTTGATGATGCGCTAATAAATCACCCTGTATATGCATTGAGGTGGCTCTGTCGCTATTTAGGCATGTTTCAATAGGCTACTTAACCAGTAACTAGGATAAACATACTTTAGTTAAGTTAACCTAAATTAATCCGAGGTTGGTAAATATTGTATTCCGCTTCAGGTAGTAAATCGTAGTCATTTAATTGTTTGGCTAACGGAATTCTAGAGAAATGTTTATCGGCAGTCTACAAAGAAAAGACAAAAAACGCGGCCGAATGAAAAGTGTAATGAAAAAATTAAGGCTTATGTCACAGGAGGCAGGTAACAGTTGTAACTGTTCAAGACTTAAGTGTTTTGACAATGTTGTTGTAGAGGAAAGGAAGCGAATTATAAAAGAATTCAACACCATGCTAACTTTTGACGAGCAAAATAGTTACCTGAGTGGTCTCATTACTGCACTCCCAATAATGAGACACCGTCCTCGTACAGATAGTGGCATAGCTATTGCTTAATTTTACTCGTACAAGTTGAGGGTAAAAAAAAATAACAATTACAAAGAAATACAAGTATATTATAAGACATTTTTGACTGTACATGGTATAACAGGTCGTAGGGTTCAAACTGTTCAGCAATGTTTGAGGGAGATGGGTGTTTCGCTAACAGACAAACGAGGTAAACATTCGAACAGATCACATAAACACAGTAATGATACTATCACTCTTGTTAATGATTTTATCAAGTCTTTGAAATATCGTAAGTAACACTACTCCCTTAAAGATACGAAAAAGACTTATTTATCTGAAAACATAAATATTTCGAAACTTCATAGGATGTTTAATGATAATCATTCAGAAAATCAGGTGTCTTAGGATTCATTCAGGGCAGAACTTAATAATAACTTTAATATTTCATTTGGCTATCTAAGCAAAGACGCATGCAGTACCTGCGATTCTTTCGGGGTTCAAAACGCTCCTATTACAGGAGGAGTAAACAGTGTCAGAAGTTTTGCTGAAAAAAGTAAAGAAAATAAAAATCTGGCTAAACTCGAAGTTAACCATAACCTTCATTTAAAGAAAGCAGAAAAATTTTATTCTCTGAAGAGGTTTTTTAGAAGAAATCCTTCAAGTCAAAAACAATAGAGGCTATTGTAATGGACTTTCTAAAAAAAAATTCACACACCCAATATCACTACGAACGATGTTTATTACCGGAAGCAGTTAAACTGCTACGCCTTTAATATTCACATGCTCTCAACTAATGGATCGGTATTTTATACGTACGACGAAACTGTTGCGAAGAAAGGGAGTGATGATGTATGTTCAATACTGGATCATTTTATCAATCATTACCTTTCGGACACAGTTCAAGAACTTGTTATTTTTTATGATCCCTGCGGAGAGCAAAATAAAAATTGTACAATTGTATCTCCACTATCTGGTTTCAAAAAAAGCGGACATTGGATTGTGTGATAGTTTTGTTCCCTGACCGAGGTCACTCTTACATGGAATGCGACAAGAACATGAGTTTCATCAACCAAAAAGCCAATGTTGAACTGCGTGAAGAGTGGAAGGAGGTAATAAGAAATAGCAGAACTAAACCAACACCATTTCGAGTTATTAATTGTGATCAGACTTTATTCAAATCTTGAACAAATTTTTTGAAACCTTTTTATAAGCTCAAATGCCCTTTTCCAACTAGGGCTGTGCGATACATTAAAAATCTACAGCAACATAAATTTATTTTTTACAGCAACATGTTTTTGGAAACTATATGAAGAAAGGTGTTATGTGGCAATCTCCAGTAAGAGGTAAAAACAAAGGGAAACCACCAACAAGATGTCAGCTTACGTATTCATACGACTCTCCCCTATCAGTCACTATTGCTAAGTACAACGACTTAAACATTTGACAAAATTTCTGATCAATCCGCAAGCTGCAGGGTTTTACACCTCTAAATTGTGACTATAATCGTTTTTCCCCCTGACCCTTCATATAATTTAAATCATTCAAAGGAACAATAGATAATATATCAGGTATAAACTCAAAAGGTTTCGCAAAATTGGAATACTTTTAATTTGGAAATGTCATTTGCCGAATACAAGAAATACAAGAAAAACATACAAGAAAACAAATGCAATACAAACTAGGTTGGTCAAACAAAACTACTTACCAAAGCAACAAATCAAGTACAATAAGTAATACAACAAGGTTAGAACATAGAGGAAACACTTACATTACAATAATTAGGAAGTACTGTAACAGGTGTGTAAATGCAAAACGGGAAATCGCCCATAGTTGGCCTTAGATGATAATGTAATATTCAGCGTCATTTGCGCCATTTCAATTGATATCTGGCAAAGATTTATAACTTACATCTGCCCTTTAGGTAACATAAGACTCGATGATATCATCTATCCCATTGAGAATTGTATAAGATATTTAGGGATTATGATAAATAAGAAATTAACATGGCGGAGACATATTGATTACATTATCGGGAAATGTGAGAAAATTATAAACATATTCCGTATTTTTGTGAAAATAAAGTGGGGCGCTGATTTTCAGACAGCATATAATTTCTATAAAAGTTGCATTAGGTCGCATTTGGACTTTGGATGTACACTTTTGATAAATCAGCTTGAGCGCATTCTGGTTATTCAGAGCAAAGCGCTTCGGATTTGTTTAGGCGCAATGAAGTCTACTCCTATTGAAACGCTTAACGTTGAAGCTATAGACGCAATTTCTTGTCGACGAAGCAGATGGTTGAACTATCAGCTTCGAACCATAAAACG